TACGGCTCTGTGTAGTAAATGCCGCTCCATCTGAAAGCACAAGCTGGAGATTTACTACTAATCACAGAACCGGCTTTACTGACAATACTGACGCATTCGATTTTTTGCACAGCCCTAGCTGTAGTGTGTATCTCTGATGTGATTCTCACACACGTCATCTCGCTCTGTGTTTCTGTAGAGCTGTACTCTGGACTGCCTGTAGGTGGCGGCGTTCAGCCGGAGGCCAAGAAGTCCGAGGAAAGCGCGCTGTGGCAGAACCGTTTGCCAAACTTCCTGGCCGAGAAACAGTTCAACGCTGCGATGGCGACCATCGAGCCGCACTGCGCCGTCTGCACGCTCTTCTGTCCGTACACACAGGTAATGCACTGAGCGCTACTACAGTATCAAAATACTGAAATAGTATGTAATCAATACATAATAGTATATCATAATACATAATCAGACTTTTTGACTATCAGCACAAAGTCTGGTCCACTTCAATGCTTTTTTTAACCAAAAACTGCCCGATTGAAGTGGAAGTTGTTTTAAATCCGTGTTTATTTCTCTTTGGTTTAGCATGCTCTCCTCTCTCTTGTGTTTTTGTGCGTGTTTAGCCCGTTAAGGACCCCTTCCACCTCTCAGACACGTCCGGTCTGGTGACGCGGGTCCGCTGTCGCACGCGTCCGCTGGTTCCAGAGATGTGCTTCAGCACGGGTGCCGAGAACACCGAACCGCTGCCGTCGAACTCCCACATCGGTGACGACGGCACCAGCGTCCTGCTGTCCTGCGGGAGCTGCGGCCTACAGGTCCACGCCAGTGAGTAACACACCTCACATGTGCTTCTCATGATGCAAAGAGACTTATCACAGCGTTAATGTGTTAAGCTAAAGGCCAGTTCACACAGAACATGTTTTTGAATTACAGTGCACTGGCATTTAATCATTTTTCTGTACAAATGTGCTTGATGGACGCCTTTGACTTGTTACTTCATGCCTTACTGCTTTTTTAGGTTTATACTATTGTTTGATACTTTAATACTGATGCATAAAAAGGTTAATTCATTATTACATTTTTATTACATTTTACAAAAAAAGTTTCTGTTTTAATAAATGCATTTTTTGTCAAGACAAATGAGACAGAATCAGCCGTTGTGAATGGTGTGGCCAACCTAACCCCGCCCCTGTGTTAATTGTGTCAAATATTTTTAACGCTGTTAAACTGAAAAAATGAATCGCCTGCGATAATTTTGACAGCACTAATATATACATACATACATACATACATATATATATATATATATATATATATACAGTGGGTACGGAAAGTATTCATATATAGATCCTACAGAACCTTTTTTTGTAAAATGTATTTAAAAAGTCATAATAAATTAACCTAGAAATTATAATTAATAATAATAATAATAAATGATAATTAATATAATAATAAATACAGCCAATATCTATCCAAAAATTGGATCGATATTGAAAATGGTAAAAAACTATATATTTTATAAATAATATATATTTTAATATATTACCTTTATTTTTTTCCTGGTTATTTATTTATTTATTTTGTTTATTTATTGGTGTGTTGCCACTGTTTTTCCTAAAAGACATAAAATAAGTGTATTATAGACTATTATACTATATAATAATTATATAATACTAATATAAAATGTTAGTATTGTGTTAGTCTCTTGGCCTTCCTCCTAATAAAAGAAGTCAAAACTCTCCCATCTTTTCACGTCTGCACCTGTATCTCCAGCTGTTTGTTTGCCTCCTTCACACCAATCTGCATATTTCCGTCTGTGTTTGCTAATAAACGCCCTTGAATTCTGTCTTTATCTGGTCGCGAGAGCGTCTCACGGCGTCACTCCAGCCAATTTACCGTCAGTCAGGCTGAACTCCAGTTATTTATTTAGACGAGCACAGAAAAAAAACCTCCCGAAGAGGAAAACACAGACGAGAAAGCGGCTCGTTTCGCCGGTTTCTCTCCACGGCGCGAGTCTAAGCCGCGTAGCCAATTAGCCGCGAGTTCACCGAGGTGACGCCGCGCTCTGATTGGCCCGTTTATGCTTTAAGCGAAAATGACAGTTTAGACCAAACTATTTCAGTTTTCCTGCTGTTTTTGTGTTTTCCAGAAGCATCCGGCCGTGGTATTTGCCATCGGCTGACAATATGATTAGATTTACTCGCGAAAGAACGACGGATGAGCGTCAGCGTGCTAAAAACCGCTCGGTTTCGCTCAGATACCTTTTCGATGACTGTTTGTAAGTTCATTACGGCGAGTTGTTCAGATTTATGAAGTGCGATCGCTCTCACACGAGCCGTCACGCGTTCGTCTGCTTTTAGCAGCGCTAATCAGTTTACCGTCGCTCTGTTTTCACTCTGTCAAACTAATTCAAGTCGTCACTGTGTGTCAGAAGAATACTTGCTCATATTTTACCTGCGCTGCTGTCAGCTCCACTCAAGCTTTCTGAAAGAAGCACGGCTTATGAAACAGATATTTCTAGCTCGTAAATCTCACCCGATGACCCGCGTTCGATAGAAATAGCTGATATTTAATGTGCACCTGTGTTATGTGATACGTCATATCAGCTATATATTGATATATGTCATATCAGTTATATATTAGTGCACCAGATACGGTAAACAGTTACAGTTACTGTATTAATTAGTGGAAGCATTGTTCATGCAACTCTTATTAAAACTACAATAATAATTATTATTAGTATTATTGTTATATTTTTGTACATTTAACTATTTCTTTGTTCATTTTTATTTTTTTGGTCATTTATTAATTCATTTTGTATATTATTGTCTTCTATTGTTTGTTCTTGTGGTTTTTTTATTTTCTTTTGTTTATTCTTAATTTGGTTCTTTTTATATTTTTTGTCATTCTTTTTGTTTTGTCACTCATTTCTTCCATTCTATACTTTGTTCTTTTTTTCTTTTGTTTATTTATTTATTTAGTTTCTGCTTAATTAGCTTTTTTGTCTTTATTTGTCTATTCTTTCTTTCTTTCTCTTTTTGTTATTCTCATATTTTGTTCTCACTGTTTTCTTTTCCCCCTTTTGTTTACTTGTTTAGTTGTTTTTTTCCCCTTTCATTTCTCCCTATTGCTTGTTCTTGTGGTTTTTTTATTTTCTTTTGTTTATTCTAAATTTGGTTCTTTTTATATTTTTTGTCATTCTTTTTGTTTTGTCACTCATTTCTTCCATTCTATACTTTGTTCTTTTGTTTATTTATTTATTTCGTTTCTGCTTAATTAGCTTTTTTGTCTTTATTTGTCTATTCTTTCTTTCTTTCTCTTTTTGTTATTCTCATATTTTGTTCTCACTGTTTTCTTTTCCCCCTTTTGTTTACTTGTTTAGTTGTTTTTTTCCCCTTTCATTTCTCCTTAATTTGTATCTTTTTTATTCTTTTCTTTTTGTTTTTGTGTCACTCGTTTCTTCCATTCTATATTTTGTTCTTTATTTTTTTCTTTTATTTGTGGTTATTTTGGTGCTTTTTTATCTTACCTTTTGTTCTTTTTCTTTAATAATAATAATGCTAATAGTTTAAGTATGATCATTTTATGTATGTATATGTTATTTATTTTGTTTGCTTTTTGTTTACTTTCTTTCTGCTTAATTAGTTTGTTGTCTTTATTTGTCTGCCATTCTTTCTTTCTCTTTTTGTAATTGAATGAATGAATAATGCCGTTTATATTGTCATATTTTATATTCATTAGTTAACTTTTTATTAGTTTATTCTTTTTTTTTCTTTCATTTCTCCTTAATTTGGATCTATTCTATTTATTTTGTCTTTTTTTTCATTCTTTCACTCTTTTTTGTTTCTTTTTTGTCTTTAAAGTTTTTCTTTCATTTGTTTTTTCTTTAATAATAATAAATATATTACTATTATCACTTTTATTTATATATGCATTATGTAATTTGTTTGTGTTTGTCTTTGTTTTTTATTCTTTTGTTTCAGCTTTTTTTGTTAATTTTTAATTTGTGTCTTTTTCGTCTGTCATTTGTTTTTCATTTTTTCTTTTTGTTATTCTCATATTTTATTTATATTCATCTGTCTTTATTTTATTTGTTTATGCTTTGTTTTTGTATAATTTTAATATAATAATACTTTTTTCACAAATATTTTAAAGGAAAAAAATCATTTCTTTAATCAGTTTACTCTTAACTTGGTTTAATTTAATTAATAAGCCACTCAAGGCTGTATGCAATAGAGGTTTTACTGCATCAAAGCCCCTTTCCTATAGTAAAAAATCCCTTTACTATAGTAAAATCACTAAATTTTGACCTCAAGTGGCTTAGTGCTTTCATTTACTGTCTCCATGCCGTGAGCTTCCCGCGGCTCCCCGGAGGTGTTTGAAACGCTCAGATTCCCTCGACTTCCTCTTACAGAGGCGACAGCGAACCACCGACCCGAATGAACAAAACAACAACAGCAGCATCTCCAGCTTGTTTGCTTTCCAAAGGCTTGAAGAAAGGGCCGTGAAGTGAAAGACAGCTTGTTAGTCGACGCTGTCTTTTCCTCCTCGCTTCTCCATGCTATTTTGGGTTTTTGCTAAGCGCTCGTACGCTTGAACTCACTCGCAGCGCTTATGAAAATGGCTCGCCAGAACATGTGCGCGTGTCGCATATTAAACTAATGCCCGGAGGCCGTGTGTGTATCCCGTCCTCCATTACGGCTCCAGCTGGGCTCGGCCGCGCCGCCCCGCTGCTCGTGTTTACCTGCAGAAAGCTGCTGATTTCGATAAGGCGGGAAGAGC